GAATGAATGAATGAATGAATGAATGAATGAATGAATGAATGAATGAAATAAATAAATACAGAATGTTGAGGGAAGAAAAAGTGTTCACCTGTTCTCCCTCAGAAAAAAAAAACACCTAAGTTTGGTTTATGTTGTTGCATGTTTGCTGAATTGTTTCTCTTGTGAGTCAAGTATCCAAGGTGAATTTAAAAGTATATGTCTTTACTCCTAAAATAATTATAAAATTATGTATAATTATAGTGATTTTCAGGAGGTAACCTTAGCCAGGTGTTGCTGTAAGCAAATAAAAACTGAATGGAGAGCAAATAAACTAAGCTTTCTGACTACAGTCACAACTTATCATCTAAGCTGACAAAAAAAACACATGCATTGTATTATCCTAGAAGACTATGCTTTTCCTCTGAGTCCTGCATTTTAGCTCGTCTCCCCTTCTTGCTTTTAACATGAACCATGACAATAACAGAAACAACCTGAAAAATGTGACAGATGAATGACAACAATGACTGTGGACACCACACAGGCTAATGCACATGATGTTAACAGGCTCTTTCTTACATTGCTGCTCTTGAGTTTGAAGTCCTCTTCGATTTCATCAGCGCTGTCATCATCAGATACCTCCCCTTCCTCAGCGTCGGCAGACAAATAGGCAGGCAGGCGTTTACCCTGGTTCCAGAAAAGTAGAGATTAATGACAAGTGGAAATATAAACTTGCTCTTGGCCCTTGCACATGTGGACCAGGTCCGTTTCCAACTTATACTTTTTATTCCTCTAAATGCGCCACAAACGTAATTAAAAATAACATGACACACTTCAACATATTTGCACAGAAAAGTGCAGAGGGATACATCAAATAACATTTATATAGCTCCTTTATCAGGATTTACGGTGTGAAAGCCATTAATGGCACGTTTAAACATATAGAAGTGTTTAGGATGTGCACTGGAAACACACAAAAGAATAACATCTGTACATTTCCTGGGCCGTTTTTTAGCACAGACCAATAGGGAGCCAGAGCAAAGGTGTCAGAGGAAGTCAAGATCTTCTAAGCATCTTTTTCCAATAAAACAGGGAGACTCAAAGCTTCTCACAGAGCCCCGAGTCCCTTGCAGGCTGACATAACTGCCCTCACTTAGGCCAATGCCACAAGCAGTCATATGGCCTTCTGTTTGTGTGTGAGTGTCAAAAACCTTTACGACATTTCTCTTTATTACGCTGTGTCTAGTCTGCTGCACGGCTGAGGGACTAAAAGGGTGAAATACGGTGAAACAAGACAGAGGGGAGGAGTAAAGGGCCTTCATTGAAAATCAATAATGCTCTATGCTTTAGAAACCTGACTTTGAGGAGACAGCCAGGGCTCCTTTAATGTAGATCTTCTTCACACAGTGGATAAAAAACACTTTATCTGGTTATCTGATAAATACTGACAGCTTTTCCTCTTTTACAGGTTCTGAAGTCTTTACTGATTACTGATATTTTAACAGTGTCACTCTACAACATAAATAAGTATACATTTGTTCATATCTCACCCTACCTGTCAGAAATGTAGGACTTTTGACAGACAAGAGTGAATCAATTAAATCAAACTGTTTAAATGTACAGTTACAGTGCTTTATGGTCTTAACAATTTCGGGTCAGAGTAAGATAAACAACTTCAAAATTAAAATATTCCCCAACCTATAGTCTATCTGAAACAAACCATCTAACTCTTCAAACATACCTGAAATGAAGGGAAACCCCTTTTAAGGAGCTCTTCCCAAAGATATTCAACAATATCAGATTTGTTTTCTATGTTGACCTCCGAGCTAGCCTGCATAGCTCAACAGACAGCTATTCTTCACGGGCTTCAGCTTCTAATCTGCATGCAGCATAGCAATGAGCCATCGCGGTTCCAAAGCTAATGGGAATAATGGGCAGTGTGCAGTGGTGTCATTCTCACATAATGTCCGAGAGAGACACAATCTTGAGGAGCAACCAATGTTGCTGTTTCACCTCAGGAGACAACCAGAACCTTTTTATTTATTAATTTATTTTTGTTAATATCGCAGGACTGGGTTATTCATTCTTTTAAATATAAAATATTTTCATGAGGACTATAACCATTTTCTTAAAGTTCCTTTTCAGTAAATTGATAGGTTCACAGAAAAGAGAAAAATGGATATAAAAGACAATTAAAAAATCTTAATGTTTGGCCAAAAATATTCAATTTGAGAAGAGGTTTGCAATTTTACTAATTTACCGTAAGTTTTCAACTGAATCTATGCTGAACCCTAAATGAGTCCTTAATCTTGTAGTATTTAAACTGTATATTCGAAATTATTGAAACCAACAGTTTCGTCACTACTTTAACGTATGCCAGCAGCTCATCCTTCTCTCCTCTCACATGTATGATTACTATAATGACCTAGTTTTGTCCTCTCTTGCTCTTCCCTCCTTTCAATCTTTCATTGGTAGTAATTGGTGGCTTTGTGCTGCCTTTCCTGCTTCCTATGCTCAGAAGCAATGCATGGCATGTAAAATATCGACGGATAATGAGCCCTTTTTTTTCTCTGTGCAGTTAGGAGTGGTAACTAAGGAGGTGTGAAGTGGAAGCTTTCATTCACAAGAACAACAAGTAAGGTTGTTTTTTTTTCAATCTAAAACACGTTAATTTAAAAAGAAAAACGCTCTCAGTCCATCTTCCAACCATCTATCATCTGACGCGTTCTTACTTTGATGAGTATCTTTCCTCTCAGGCTGTTGGGACTGGGTAATGTTTTGGAGTCTCGGCCCATTACATCACCCACGTCCAGTTTATCTCCAAAGATTTCTCGCAGGTACTGAGCAATCTTCTTCTGCTGCTGGATGCTGCAGTGGTTCTCTATGGAGAGAATCACTGGGTATCTGAGTAAAAAAAAAAAAGAAATCAAGTTGTTTAAGCCTGATCTGAATATTTGAAGAGAACAGAGAAGTCGAGGCTAATAGCAAAGACACAGCTGCTCAGTGGCATGGCGTGTGCGCGTGTAGGGAAACGGGTTTGGTGTTTTCAATTTGAAAAGGTGAAATGACTTGTGGCCACACAGCAGAACAGCTCAAATGCCAGGTTTGTCAGAGTGACAGCTCTCCCTCAGGGGACACAGACCCCGCTTCTACTTCCACCAATGATCTTCAAAACACACACTGATATGAACAACAGTGCGCATTTCAGACATGTTCCTGCTCACGAGTGCCAAAAAACGGACAGTAGAGAAATCCGAAATAATTGCTCTCAAAGAAGACTTGGGTGGCCCTCATGTGAAACTGTGAGGTGTTAGTTAGTTATGATGGGTGTGTGCATGGAAGCAGTGATTTGTTAAACTGCAACAAAGTCCTGGTGGCTATTAATCATTTTAACAGGTGGTAATGACAAGAACTGGATGTACTGGAGAGCAATGAAGCTAAATACATTCTGTTAATGAATCTTTTCTCCCTGTTAGCATTATTACTATTTTCTAATTGATAAACTGCGAATTAATTAGAGGTTGCCGACATTTCTTTATAATCATTCATGAGTCTTTTCTTTCAGGACAACAAAACCGAACAATGGCTGAATTCACAGTGGAAGAAACTGATCTTGGAAAAACTAATCTGGGAGAAAATGTGTATTTAACGAGAAAGAAATTAAGGTCAAGTCTTTGTTTGGCATGATGAGGCTGTAGAAATTGAAACACCCTGGACCAGAATTTTCTTCTCACTTGTTTATGTCACCATTATACATATTTTCATAATGCCTGCCTTGTGACTATTTTCCCCCAAGTCTATCACAAGTTGCCTTGAACTGCTTCTTTACCACTCAGCTGATCAGTTAGTGCAAACTGAACCTCTCAGGAGGAGCACATAAACAGAGACGAGCTAGTATTAAGTGTTTGAGACTAAATGGAATGTCATGGTTTGGATCAATGCATTTCAACTCAAATTATGGTCAATCAGTGAATTTATAAAAGGATTTTTGAGGATTTTGACTGAAATGCGGTTGCCTGAAACTGAAAGTAAATCCATAGATATCTATAAAGATCACTTTAAATCTGATGTGCTCATCCACAGAAAAAATACAGTATAACTGACCATTTGTGGCTCATTTGTAGTATTCATCCAAAAGATAAGATGCTTAGCTGTTGGATATTCGAGTAAAAATGTTTTTTTGAGCTGCCAAAGCTTTAGTACTTCCTGTTGATTACATAATGTATTTGAGAGTGTGTATTTGAATATTGAATACAGTCACTGCCATCATACTGGAAGATGCTGAAATTTAAGTCAGTGTGAGCCAATATGGCAGCAGGAAGCTGAATCATTCACCATTTTGTTTGGGTACCGCCGGCCCCAGCAGAGACCATCAGTGGATCCTCAGGGAGCCCTGGGGAGTGCTGTTCAGCAGATGGTTCAGTGAGAGGTGCTAATTACTTCCAGGAGTCACTGATCATGAACGTTGTTGTCCAGCTTATGCAACGTTTTCTTCTTACATTTTATAATAAGACTGAGAAACTATTAGGCAATGTGCTCAAACAGTCCTTCAGAGAAGAACCCCTCCCCATCTTTACATATGTTGCACGTCTGCCAACAAGATTACTTTATCACTCTGTGTCACTCACTGTTGTGAGCTGAACAATTTTGCTGAATTGTGTAATTGTCTGTCAAGTTAATGGTTGTAGGTCTTTGAAAACTAAATAGAATGACTCTAAAAACCCACCTCATGAGAAAAAAATATCCTTTCCCAATTAGAAAAAGATTCATTCAGGCACACTCACACACACGTACTGCAGCCAGCTTTAACTCACTGGTTATTAACGAAGGAATATTTGTTGATGGTCTCTATGACGGATTTGAATGTGATCTTGGAAGTCAGAGTGTAGCCATGTTGTACCATCGGCTCTCCGTCGGGGCCGTCCCAACAGTCAACTGTAGGGAAAGAGACCAACAAAAAAAGAGTCATGGTTATGGGAAACGTGCACCTTTGTCTCATCTGTAAAAGTAGAATTTAGTTGTTACCAGAGGCTGAAAATAGCGGAAGAGTCACAACCAAGTAATAGCATGAAAGATTGGAGCACGGTGTGTTGGACTGTTTAAAAGCGTATTACCAAATATTAACACGTGACAATGAGGATGGGGCTCTTTAGTTTAGTTTAACATAGAAAAATATCCATGGCAGTACTAAGAATATTCCATTTTTACAAGAAAAACAGAAAATGGCTATTCTTACGCACTCGATGAGTGGAGGTTTGTTGCGACATGAAGCAGTAAAAACAAAAGCAAAAAAACCTCCTCAAATTACAGCAGTGTGTTTTCACAGCAGACATATTGATTAGTCGCAGTGAGAAAGGCCCAGGTGTTACTAATAGCATGAAAGATGGCACAGTTCTGTCAAGGATCCCGCTGAGACGTGGCAGTTTCAGCACAAACAAAACCAGAAGCCTGAGGTTCCAGTAGCTGAATTTAATTAAGTCGTCATTACTATATTGTTGCACCTGGGCTTTTCCAGCTAATTCCCTCAAACTAAAAACATATACTCCTAAAAAGAAGAGGTCTGTGTACCTTCCACACAGCGGCAGCCGGACTGCAGCACCCAGGCATACATGTCAGTCTTGGAGTGGGAGAGGAGCTGGTCTCCAGTCAGGTAGGTGTTATGAGAGGAGGCAATGAAGTAGTTGCACAGAGGTTGTTCCATGTCTTGATTCACTTCATGGTGCAGCGGGTTGAAAATGTCACATGTTGGGCTGCGCATAAAACTTGTGAAGCCTGAAGAAACACATGAAATGAAGGGAAGAGTCGTGGAGCGTTAAGGAGATCTCAGGTTTTAAGTGAATACCCTGTGCTTCACATATGTCTCCTATATTTATAACAAGAAGAGACTTAACAAAAGAGAGAACACACCAACCGAAGAGTTTGGACAGGAGAGATACAATCAATAACTGTAAAAGAATATTTAAATGATCTTTGAAATATAAAAGATACAGATATGGAACAACAATGAAACAGTTCTTCTGCAAAAAAAAAATATTTGAAGAGGTTGTAACGCAAAAAACAGCATATGGGACAGGGTTTGCAATTGGAAATAAGCAATTGGATTAAGGGAGAAAATTCATTCTGTCTACTTAGGTTCAGTTTTTAACATGAAACTTTCTGATGGATACACATGCTGGAGAGATGCCACATGTTTCACTCTTTGCGCTGTAAAATCTGTTTATCTAAATCTTAGAGGCCATTACTGTTACATAAGTGCATGATATATGTGTAGACGTCCATGCCAGGGCTGCAGGGAGGGCATCAGGCACATTTGTCTAGTCAACCAGACATGCCTATTCTTTGCTTTCATGTATCACATTACAGGACTACTCTTCCCCTCGTCCCAAGTTGCTTTTGTCTTTCTTGCACAGATTGTTTTCTTCTTCTCAGACCCTCAGTCTGATGAGACTAGTTTCACAAAATAGGTGCCTTAACCTCCTCTCCTCTCTCGACCCATTAGTTTAATGGTTTAATGTGATAAAAATGTTGCATTTTACACTTGTTTTTTTCTGAGTGTAGGCCTTTGACTAAAAACAGACATTTCGGATTCAGCTAGAGCTTTATTGAGCATTACTGAATTTGAAAAAGCTAATTTTAATCTAATATTATTCCATGAAAAACATCAAGGATGCAGGTTTAGAATAATGGGACTAGACTGTGAGATTTCATATAAATGTAAAATAAAGAGATTCAAGTGGAGATAAGAGAGATACAAAATTTACCTTCAATTCCCATAACCCCTCTTTGTTTATTTTCATCAGACACCTCAAACTTGTCAATTATTTCCGCTGCGTACTCTGCTGTCACATTGATGGTCTGTAATGGAAGGAAAGAAGCACATTATATGCATAAACCATGCTCAGGCTTTTGGTAGTGAAGAAAATAATACTGCTGTGGAGCAGGTGTTAAAGGCAAAAGAATTTAGTATCATTTCGAAGTTTCATATTCAATTTATGTTGATAGTAAATTTTTATCTAGAGTGAACAAGCTGCTTGGTGAGAGACCACCATTAGTCTAAGAATTATATGAGACGGTAAATAACACTGAAAAGAAATCACACCGCTGCATTCTAAAACAGAAACATGCATTAAAATGAGAAAACTTCCTGAAAATTATGTCTAAACCTGAGACTAAATACAGAAAGTCAAATCTGTCACAAGATAAATCAGTCAAAGGTGAAATAGACGAGCCTAATAGAGCATTATTCTTCAGGCCGACAGTTGGGGAGTTTTATCTTAAGAAAACACAAGGGTGAAATCTATTTACTGTTGCTGAATCTGAATTTTAAGAGGTCGACTTGGGGGAGAGTGCTCTCACATAAATGTCACCTTTGGCATTTTCTGCAGAAAATGTAATTGTCACATGAAACCAGGGTGACTCCTTACTTTCTGCTCATTGCGCAGTAAGTCAGCCAGTTCCTCTGCTGTCAGGTGGTCTTTCCTGTCGCTGTATGCCATCATGAGCAGGAACAGGTCCCGTCTCAGGGACATCATCTTGTAGAAGACGGAGAATTCCTCATACGTTAGCGTTCCCTGATGATCATCCGTGTCTGCCTCCTAAATACGTGAGAGAGGGTTATTCTATGGCCAGACCAGTCTAATAGAAAAAAAAACATCTCAAAGCACATTTCTTATCACCCGTCTCACAGGCTGGTTCAATAAAAGTGAGATTTTGTGACCTTTTTCCCTGTCTATAATGTTGTCCCTGTAGCCCCCCTGCACATGACCTTACATTAAAACATGTCCAAACCTGTGAAGCGTACAGATGTGTAAGCTGTTTTCCTCTGCCTATTTTTACCAGCAATCAGGCACAATGAATACATCTGTCAGACACCAAGAAAATACCTCCACAAGCTATTTTTCTTCTCTCAAGCCCATATTTCATCAGAGGTTGACAGAGGCTGCCGAGCTCATTCTGTCCAACCACCTATGCTCTCTCCGCTCGCTGGGATCCATCATCTGATATTAGGGGGGGTCCATTCGATTCCACACCAAATCTAATAATACCAGCTAATTCTGCCATCACACTCTGATAATGGGCTCCCTGTGGGAACTCGGTACCCGGTCACAAACAGGATCTACACAGAAGCAGCAGGATGAATCACTGGGATGGACTTGGAATGCGTAGAGAGATAACAAACAAATTCAGGGTATTTTAAGTAACACAAGCTGTTCAAGAGTAAATGGGTCTCTCCATGACTGTTTAAAATCCAGAAGATAGAAATTAATTATTTTTTATGTGATTTAAATGCCCAAAGTGACTCGTTTGAGGACAAATACTCCTGAATTTACTGAATTTGTCATATCAGAAAATTTAGACAAAAATTGATTTTGAATTCCCTCTCAGCTGATGATAGGATTTACTGTGGTCAGTAGGCTCTCAAAAGGGCAATTTGGCTCCTAAATGGCCTTGAAAAGTGTAAAATGACACAGGCTCTAGGAGCTGATAACATCATTGGATTACTAAAACTGTATGAAACAGAAGTGTTTCAAACATTTTTCAAAATGAGGGGATGAAAACCCCTCACAAACTTTCAGCTGGCTATTCTTAGGCAGGGCTGTAAATAATACCTGTGGTGGGTTTTCATCACCATCAAAAGTGAAGGCATAGAAAAAAAAAGAATGCAGGGCAAAACTATGCTGTCCTTTAGCCCAACATCCATAATATATATATAGATATATATATACCACCTGTCACCTCGGGAGTCACTTGTCACACCTGCTCCCCATTATTCTCTGCATCCAACTTTGCTGCATTTACCACTTTTGTTGCCTTAGCTTTCAGGCACTGCTTTTGTGATGATTGTCTTATTCTTACAGCTACTGAGATGATGTTTAGGGTGAGGCAGGCTTAATATGATGAGGAAATGTCAAAAACCCAATATCAAATCAATCAAAATGAATTAATTTTAACTTTTAAATAGCTGTAAACTCAGTTCATTAGTTCATTTCAAACTTTCAACTACAAACATACAAAAACATATGATTTTAGAATGAGTTCAAAATGCAGGAGAATCTTGTTTGTAATGCGAGTATAAATGCTATGGTCAATTTCTATTCACAGATTATTTAAATAAGGAAGGTATGGAATTGAAAATGCCTGTTTCAGTCTGACACTTTAATTCAGCATCCCACGCAGTTACTTTATCATAAGACTACAGATCCATATAACTGTTCTTTATAAAGTTATGACTGTAATTTAGCAGGAGATGACTTGGAAAGATTTAACGTTCCAACCTGAAACATTTGCTTGACCTTCCTGCGCGGCAGATTGACATTCAGCTTGTGAAGAAGTTGGTAGATCTCATCAATGTTCAGTAGACCGTCTCCATTCTTATCCGCTTCCTCAAATGTCTGCTTCATCCACGTTGGAAAAGTAGATTGAGAAAAATGGGCTGCATTTGTAGCTAATCCATCCACTATATTTTATGCATTTAAGATTAGGCCTAATTCTTTAGCTACAGATAAACATCTCACTTCAAAACAAGATTAATAAAAAAATATATGTTGCACTCTAATAGCATGGTTTAGATGAAAGGGAAAAACATTGCTATTCAAATTATTGTATTTTAATGTGTGCTCTAACATATGAGATATAATGATGCTCACTGGGTGAAACATATCTACAACTTAATCAAATCAGCATAAATTTACTCTCTTGTGATTAAAAACGTGGTTCTAGTGAGGCTCTTTGCTTGAAAGGATATTGGTCATGTGTACGCTGCCGCTTGGCCAGCGAGTCCTCGTCACTGATGCCAGCCATCAGGTAACGGAGGCCAGTTATCCAGGTTCTGGCTTCCTCCGGATTGGATGTCACCAGGTCCAGGGACTCCATGTGATTTCCATGGTACACAGTAAAGCAGCAGGCTGGGTCGAAGCTTCCGTCGGCATGTCGATGGAAAATGTCTGACTGACCACCCTCTGTGACCTTGTAAAGTGAGTCAATGGTGACTGATGCAGTGAGGAAAGAGAAAAGACAGATCATCTATTAAGATTCCCAAAGAAAGAGTTAATACCCTGATTTAAACAACAATATTCTACAGTCATCAAAAATGCATCCATAAGTCCCACCATAACACTCATTTCCCATCATTATAACAAACCAGGGCACTTACAGCTATAGTATAATTCCACATACAAAGTCCCTCTCCTGCTCACTGTACAAAAAAAATGTGTATGTGAAATCTATTGCTGAAAACACTCTCACTCCCAATCACTGTACGGGGAGTCTTGGTCAGGACCCTTGCCATCAATTTTATAACACTGGGTAACTCTTTAGTGTCAGTTCAATCAGGTCTATAATAGGCACCTTGTGACTATAAGGATTTTCTCCTGTATTATCTCTATTATGGGACCCATCATCTTGGTTATGAAGAAAGAGGAGTAGATGTGGATAGAAGAAGAGACAAACCTGCCATTGAACACAAAATCATGGACTTTAATCTGCCAAAATCCCTTCTTAAAGCTAACTGAGTGACTTCAATTCCTAAAACTGACCAAATATCAACTGGAAACCGAAATGTATATGACTTTTTTTTAAAGAATAATTTATTTTAATCCATTAGTCGATGTAGATAATGTAGATTTCAATGTGTGTATATTTTGAGTTTTAGTTTTCATTTGAGACAATTCCATGCAAATTTGAACATTAAACAATCAAAAACAAAAAATGCAAGAAGACACAATATTTATTTATATATATATATATATATATATATATATATATATAAACGTATATATATATATATATGTTTGTGTGTGTTTTATGTCATGTTATCTTCATGATAACATGAAAACAATCATTTTGTTGGGAAAGGGCCTCATAAAAATACACTGTACCGACAATAAGCTTGCAGCGTCCCATTTCATAAACAAGAAAAAATCAGCTAAATACATAAATCTCAAGTAGTTCTTCGGTAATTGTGTTTTGAGGTTTGACGCTGCACAGCACAGATAATAACCTTCCAATCCCCTCATTTTGTAATCTTGAACTCCCATTGAAGGGTTATGATAGAAAAAGGAGGCAGACTGAGGGCAGGATATTAAAAAGGATAAAAGTAAAACATTGCGAAAATAACCGCCAACAAAATTACTCAACTTCTTTGCTTTCTCTGCTCTGGTCTACCATGTGTAACAATAAGAAGAATTTGCAACTCCTGCAGGCCTAAGAGATGTTCACGGTCTAATAAGATTGCTGTATGAGCTCAGCAAGCTTAGATTCTGAGTCTTTGTTAAGAATAGCCTGCAGTAAACGATGTCCTACTCTGACATATTCACAGTGCGGTCCTCCAGAATTCTCCCTCATTTAAAACACTCCCTGAACTTCCTCAACACGCAATATCTTTTTATTTGAACATTACTCTTTATGGTAAAATAAACAGCTATAATTTGATTCGAACAAGAAAATTGCCTTCTTATCCTTCACACAATAGATTTTGTCATAATCCTTTCCTACATCATCCCTAAACATTCCACACTGCGACACATCTGTTACATATTGCCATGTAGGAACAGTGTGACTGACAGTAGCAATATGTCTCATTTTGATCCTATACACACATACACACACACTTGTGTCTCTTTCCTGTTATGTTAGTTGGAAAGGGTCTGGGAGGTTTATCTAATGTTGACCGTGAACAAGCATGCATTGTGTCTTTTACAGTGAGGAACCTAATGTTTGCGTCGATGGGTTAATGCGTAAAACAATTTTGATAAAGATTTGACAACATTCACGGCAAATCACAGTTTCTTTCATAGCGGCATAACAGAGTCAGACCACAAAACCTGAGCACACACTCCATGAAAAAAGGGAGGGTTATTGTTATGCTAAAAACATAATAAGCGCATTAAAAACAAAAGTATCATCACTAGGCAAGGTTATTTTTGAATGCATTTTTTATGCACACAAATCCACAGAAATAATGACATAAATAATGACAGGGACTGAAGGGAGCTTCAAATAATCTTAAACCAGTGGATTACACCGCAAGGTACTTACACTTTTCACATAAAACTGAAGGTAGAATCAATTGACTGAACCAACCAAGCCCTGCGCAGAGGATCTTAATAGATTTTGGTTATTTTACGCCAAAAGGCTTCCTCAGTTATTCCACAGAGAAAAACTAACTTGTAGTATTTTATTCTAGAGCTCCATCTTAACTGACACAAACTTCTATAAATGCTGTAGTCCTGGAACACTTCCATACCTAAAACATTGGTGGTGGTGTTGAGGAATCCAAAACAATATTGTCTCAAATGCAAAGATTAAAGACTGCCAGAAGGATTTTTCTTTGTAATTTTGTTGAGGACATTACAGAATTTAAACAAAATAAAGTTTTTCAATTAAACAAAAATCAATACTCCTCTCTAACCGTGGCTCAGTGACGGCACCCATAGCAAAGAAGTTGTTTACATAGTCCATAATCGTTCTTAAGGCATTACTGGGATGTTCATTAACTGTACATCAAATCAAACCGGACAGTGGTTTAAAAACAGTTTGCATGCAGATGTGTGCGTTCCTACTCACTCTTGGCCTTCTCACTCTTGCGTGAAGGCTTCCAGCGGATGCAGGAGCAATGTTCATCCAGGTAGAAGAGTCTCACCAGCCCTTTGGATCCAGCCTTCAGCTTCACCATTTGTGTCCCGGACTGCATCACACTCATGCATCGCTCCACTGCGGAAAGCACAAAAAGCGAATGCCGTGAAAACTGAATCGAGACACGAAAAGGAGCAGGTGCCTGGCTTTTTTTTTTTTTTTTGTCAGAAGGAAGTAAGGTGAAGTGACACAGAGCGAAACGGTAAGAAGCACAGCCAGCAGCTGATGCGAGTCAGCGTCCAAACTTCAACAGGGATGCCACTGTGTGAACAAACAGGGCTTTTCTTTTAATCGCTGACTTGTTGCAGAGAGGGTTTCAAAGGGGAAGAAATTGAAAGGTCTCAAAGAGGGATACTCATCTGATGTGTAGCTCTGTGTGTTCAGATTCACAGAAGAGCTGATGCAGGAAAAAAAGCTGCAGATCTTGCAGAGGCAGGCGGAAGCCAACATTTGGCTTCCATTCAACATTCAACCACTACATTGCTTTCTCATCTCTTTGAGTCATTTTGATAGATCCACTTCTTCCCTAATGTAACAAACGTACAGCTAATGTCTTTTGTTTTGTTTTTCTAGTAACTTTAACTACAACATATTTACGAAAAGGTAAAATTCCTGCTTCTCTGGATTATCCACAGGCCTCAAGGTAAGTGCAGCCAACTGGAGTAACTTCTTTAGTTGTTACAATAAAGGAAAAAAGTGTGATGCATATGGTGAGAGCGAGAGTCAGCTATCTAACACCACCCTCCATCCCTGCAGCCTCCTTCTAGGGAGCACATCAGTAGTGAGCTGTGATGGCTCGTTAATTGTTAAGTTGTGCTATCCTTGTGTTTCTAAATCATGTTTTAAACAGGGCTGCATTTATAGATGTCTCTGCCCATCAGATAACACAACCCCTTGCTAATTGCAATGTGCCAAACATTATCACAGTGAGGGTGTGCGGTGGGAAGCTCACAAACGCGCTAGAGTATAGACCATATGTGCATGGCTCTGAAAATGAGCAGTGGCATGGAGGTAGAGGAAAAAAAATGAGGGAACAGTGGGACTGAGCAGACTGTGAAAGCAGATTCTGTGTTTAAATGGCTTGGTGCCAACCACCGTCCAGCATCAGGAAAGGATAGAAATTTCAACTTTTATGTGTTTTTTTTTTTAACTTTGTGTGACAGTCTTTGGCAGGGATGCAGATGGGGATGACAACAGAGACGGGGAGATTTCCTTCCTCATTAGCGGTGCCTGTGAATGCTTGCTGGCAGCATGTGTGTGTGTGTGTGTGTGTGTGAAGGGGATTTTCTGAAGTGTGTGCACACTACATGTAAGATATTAATATCAGTATGCTTTATTGCACACATTTAGGTTGTTCTTGGTTGATGGTGCTCAAAGCAACATACATTTATCCATCTTTCCTCATTCTCTGACATTATTGTGGTTAAAGATAAACTTCTAAACAGAGAACAAAAGCATTGATGGTTGAAGCGTTATCCATCTGATCATGGTACACAAATTAATGAGCCAACAAAAGCAAATTTCTTTATAATTTTTTTCTATCATCATTTTGGCTCTCACTTTGTGAAGTATTGTCCAACGATTCTGCGTTTAATGACAAAACCCAAACAGGACAGCTATGGGGCTTTTCCATTAGTACCTCCTCACCCCGACTAAGGTGTACTCACCTCACCGTGGCTCGATTTAGGTGGCTTTCCATTACAAGTCAGTATCTAACAGAGAGGCTGAACAGCCCGTGGCATGATTTGTGTGTGACACAAACACGAAACAACAACTAAGAGCACTGTGTCCACCTTATAATGGCCTGAAGGTCCAGTATAAAACATTTACAATACTGATGATCACAGAACTAATTTGCAGACATTTGTTATTGCTGCAGCCCCAAATAAAAACGTTTTCAAAAGCAAAGCAAAGTTGCACCAGTGGAAAAAACCCATAAGATTTACAATCTACTCTCAAGAGCTAAAATGGACTAAGCAAATCCAGTAAAGCACATTTAGGTTTTTCAGGTGCTTTTTAACACAAGTGCCGAGGCAAGGTGTTATATAACAACAGCAATTATCACTGAAGAGTAACAAAACAATCACACTGATCTGATTCTAATTCTATTTCTTCTTTTTTTATGCCATATAGACTTGATTTTTATGGCCAAAAGGTTGCTCCCAGAAATAGTCTTGTTTGAATACATATATGTAATCTTTACCTATAAGTGAAAAGATGAACAGTCAACATCACAAAATTTTTATGGTTACGCAATAACTAAGCATTTTCCCAAAGGTAACTTCATTTAAACTCACACAATTCTTTGTAGTATTATATAAATATGCTTAGTCAAGAAAATCTACCCCATACATACTTGCAGAAATCGAAAGTATGACTAAGTATTCTCCATCAATATAATATGCAAAAATAAAGAGATGTGTGTTCTGATGACACTGGTGATTATCTTCAAAGCCAGCTAAAGTCAAACCTCTCATGGCTCTAAAATATGTTAAAGCTTACTTGACAGTGCACACACACTCAGCAAAGTGCTTGTCAACAGTCTCTGTCCCAAAGACAGGATTAGCAATGGCATCACGTTGTTCGGAAATCTGATGCGTTATTTCAACTGTAAATGCTCACTAAAGGTATATTATCAAAGAAGAGCAGCACATTAATCCAGGATTTGTGTATCTCCTCCCACAATGCATGGCAGACCATGGATGCACCCATAGCTGAACAATCTGCCAAGTGCACAAACAACAGAATCTGCTGTGAAAATACATAAAACAATAGTTCGATATACTACTATTTCTGGTCATTTTAAGCAAAACTATCTAGCAAGACTAAGTTTTTAAACAAAGGTTAATGGACTGCAAAGAACATCACATCCCACTGATTCTGTGCTTCAGCTTACATTAAAAGGAAGGGATTACTGAGACGAACAGGAGGTAACAACCGGAAAATAACAACATGTGACAGTAACAACAATCCATTTTGGAAAATGTTTGCCTTCATGCCAAGACAGGACAAAACATAGAATTTAAATACTACCATATATTACAATCTAACAAACGAAAAACTGACCTATGAAAACATCCATGCAAAGCTTTATGTCTCACAATATATTCTCTTACATCCATCCACTATAAAAACCCAACAGTAGCAGCAGAATCTGAGTATTTCCTTGTCGTCACTCTGGGAAAGCCGTTTTTTATTAAATGCATTTATTTTTCATTAGTTGAAATAAAATCAAATTATTTATAAAGCATAGAGAAAATAGTTGATCATGTGCCGTACACAGCATTACCTCCAAAAACAAACACATAAAATCAAATTCAATTTAATCAACCACAACCCAGAGTAAGATTTAGCTTGTGTAGATTGGATGGATAAATTAATAAACAAATTTAATAAAATCAACATTATAAGTATTAAAACACAAAGGGCTGTCAAGCAAAGGCATGATCTCCTGGTTTGTTTGTTGATGGATTTTTGTTTTTGGAAAATCTTTAAAGCTTGATTGGAATTTCAGCAGTTGCACTTTGGAAAGAAATATCTAATTAGTCGGCGTGTTCACCTTTATTTTCTCACAGTTAGACATTAATTATTCAGACTCAATGGTTTCCCAACAGCACAGTGTCAAGAATACTGCACTCCTGATACCACAAGACGATCAAGAAAGGACTAGAAGTTGCAGCAAAATTCTTCACCCAAAGCACGTATACCCGGCCAAACCCAGTGGACAGATGTCTGAAGCTGAAAACAGCAGGACCTTTGAACTCCAGTCGTCAATGCCCCAGTGACTGATGACACAAGACACCCACTGGGTTTCCATTTCATATGGAAGATCATTTCAAAATTAAGAGGGTTTATTCATTCATTTATGTTGTTCATATTCAGCCTTCATTGTCTATTTCCTCATCATTTATCACTTTAGAATGATTAAAGCTCATTCTTATCCGTTTGCAGTGTAACTAAACACTGGCTAGTGTTTTGTGTTCCAAAGCAGTAAAAAATAAAGTGGTACCAAATATATACATACTGGATCTTTAAATTAGTTCACCCTCAAGTGTTTCTGCTTTTGTGAAAAAAAACATACTGGAGATGTGTAATATCAAAAGCTGTTGCTTAGACAATTCCACTATTATAATTGTGTATACACCCATCCTCCCAATTTGACTTGAGAGCGCACATTTTCAAGCAGTTTTTCGAGATATGGTTTCACAGGGAAAATCTTAAAAGGGTATTTGGCTCATATCCAGCTCAACAGGCAACACAAAGTGGCCTCTAGAGTAACAGGTGACTGACATGTTCAGGTATAACTTCATCATCTGAGGCACAGCTTAAAGCAAGCCAACTTCCTCTCCTTCCTGCCTCGCTATTCTAGTTTACTGTTTTTTCTACAGCTCCCATCTCTGCGTGAACCAGTCAAGTTAAGCGCCATGGGACATAAAACCTCATTTCTAGCCAAGATGAAACCTAAAAATATAAAGGAGAAAAGAACAAGAGCTATTATCTGTCAGAAAGAGGGCAGTTGGCTCATGATCAAAAATGAGAATTAATGTGAGTAATCTGGAAAGAAAAACTGAGATGGCTCCTCTAGTGGTTTATGCCCTCAACATCTTGACAATTGTCTCAATTAACACATTAATCTTTTTTTATTACATGGAAGTGCGACACTATAAATTTATGGTTCAGTTTCAAGTTACGATTCCAAGTTTCCACCTTGAAACAGAAAAAAGAAGCCAGTCTTCATCATCCTCGGCCTCTATGTATGAGCAGGTTAGTCCTATATTTGTCTGAGACTTTAGAGACTGGGCATTGTAAATTCTCTTCCTGCATGCTTCAGAAACGAAGGTAAAAGACAACCGTGCCTGACAGCTCAACTATTTAATGTAAAAGGTGTTTTTTTGGAAAGGTACAGAGAAAATGTAAGTTTTGCCCTTAGTTTTTGGCTTTTTCAGCTTTCAGAAAATCCTTGTATTATCTGCGCTGCGTATGTGTGTTTATTCGAGTGCGTGCGCATACATGTGTAAAAACAAATCATCAATGTCGGCACAGAGCAGAGAATAGATCAAAGCCTCGTCTTGCAAAAG